GGTGAGGGTGTGATTGGTGAGGATGAGTGGTCAGGGTGAGTGGTGAGGGTGAGTGGTGAGCGGTGAGGGTGAGTGGTTGTTGTGAGGGTGAGTGGTGAGGGTGAGTGGTGAGGGTGAGTGGCGGTTGTGAGTGGTGATGGGTGAGTGGTGAGGGGTGAGTGGTGAGCGGTGAGGGTGAGTGGTGAGGGTGAGTGGTGAGGGTGAGTGCTGAGTGGTGAGGGTGAGTGGTGAGGGTGAGTGGTGAGAGAGTGGTTAGTTTTGAGGGTGAGTGGTGAGGGTTAGTGGTGAGGGTGAGCAGTGAGGGTGATTGGTGAGGGTGTGATTGGTGAGGATGAGTGGTGAGGGTGAGTGGTGAGGGTGAGTGGTTGTTGTGAGGGTGAGTGGTGAGAGTGAGTGGTGAGAGTGAGTGGTGAGGGTGAGTGGTTAGGGTGAGTGGTGAGGGTGAGTGGCGGTTGTGAGTGGTGATTAGTGAGTGGTGAGTGTGAGGGTGAGTGGTGAGCGTGAGTGGTGAGTGGTGGGGGTGAGTGGTGAGCGTGAGTGGTGAGGGTGAGTGGTGAGTGGTGAGTGATGAGTGGTGAGGGTGAGTGGTGAGGGGTGAGAGAGTGGTTAGTGGTGAGGGTGAGTGGTGAGGGTGAGTGTTGAGGTTGAGTGATGAGGATTAGTGGAGAGTGGTGAGGGTGAGTGGTGATTGGTCAGTGGTGATTGGTGAGGATGAGTGGTGAGTAGTGAGGGTGAGTGGTGAGCGTGAGTGGTGGTTGTGACAGTGAGTGGTGAGGGTGAGTGGTGAGGCTGAATGGTGAGTTGAATGGTGAGAGTGAGTGGTGAGGGAGGATGGTGAGGGTGAGTGGTGAGTTGTGAGGGTGAATGGTGAGGGTGAGTAGTGAGTGGTGAGTGTGAGTGGTGAGTGATGAGGATGAGCTGTGAGTGGTGAATAGTGAGGGTGAGTGGTGAGTACAGTCAAAATGCACTGCTGTAATCATAGCAGGTACCACCACCACAGTATGTACTGATGTCATCATCGCAGGTACCACCACACTCGGTATGGACTGCTGTAATCATAGCAGGTATCACCACAGCAGTATGCACTGCTGTAATCATAGCAGGTACCACCACAGTCAGTATGCACTGCTGTAATCATAGCAGGTACCACCACAATATGCACTGCTGTAATCATAGCAGGTTCCACCACAATATGCACTGCTGTAATCATAGCAGGTTCCACCACAATATGCACTGCTGTAATCATAACAGGTACCAACACAGCAGTATGCATTGCTGTAATCATAGCAGATACCACCACAGTCAGTATGCACTGCTGTAATCATAGCAGGTACCACCACCACAATATGCACTACTGTAATCATAGCAGGTACCACCACAATATGCACTACTGTAATCATAGCAGGTACCACCACCATATGCACTGCTGTAGTGATAGCAGGTACCACCTCAGTCGGTATACACTGCTGTAGTGATAGTAGATACTGCTATCGAGTTGGTAGATACTGCTATATAGAGTTAGTAGATACTAAAACAGTCAGTATATACCAGTCAATACTGCTACAATCAGTATATACTACTATACAGTCAGTACATACTACCACGGTGAGTAGCTACTAGAGTCAGTAGATACTATTATAGAGTGAGTAGATACTGCTATAGAGTTAGTAGTTACTACTATAGTTAGTGGATATTATAGAGTCAGCAGATACTATACAGTTAGTCGTTACGACTATATAGTCGGAAGATACTACTGTCGGCCCAGTAAATACTACTATCGTCAGTAGTTACTACAGTCACTAAATGCTACTACAACAGTCAGTAGCTACTACTGGCTCAGTAGATACTACGGTACAGTCAGTAGATACTACTAGAGTCAATAGATACTACTTCCTCTGTTGTATGTAAGGTGTGTAGGTATATATACCTACGAGGGGTAAATATATTTCTTGAGGGGGGTGTCCACAATTTTCGGAAACCTTTTACATCAACTATTTACCCCACACTTTCTACAACTTTTTGGACTTGTGCAAGCCTCTTATATATTTGTTGGTATAGAAATGTACAAACGGCCCACCGGGCTTTGACAATACCTTAGTATCTGTGTATATATGTAAGGTTTTTAAGAAATATATTTTTCACCCGGGCAACGCCGGGTACTTCCGCTAGTACTCTATAAAAGCCTGCAATGGTTTTTGATTATATTTATTCATCAGTCTTTTATCAGAGCTGATCTACACCGTGGTAAATGACCTCCCTTCATGTGTTTATAGGCAAGGACCCTGCCTGTCATATGGGTCAGTTCCAACAGAAAATGATATACTGTATCACTCAAAATAATCATAAAGTGTTGTCGGCGAGAATACAGGCAGACCTTGCTTAACGATCAAGATACGTTCCTGGAAATGTGAGCACGAATCGAATCGGCCTAAAAGAGGGTAATTTTACCATTGTGTAGTGACTCAACTCGGAGGCAGTAAGACTTGGAGGCACTTCTTTATTTAACAAGCACAATCGGGAAAACACACCATACGTGGGTGCACACTATTGTCGGTGGCACTACCTAGAACAGTTGGTAGGCTGTCTGACTAGCAGCGCCCCGGGATAGTGAAAACGACGAGATGAATGGTGACGACGACGAGATGGTGACGATAGACTTGAGCAGCACGATGGGGGATCCCACTTCCAGCAAGAGCCACGAGGCCCCCCACAGGTGCCCCTCTTCTACTCTTAGCGTGGCCTCGCTCCGCCCTGGCCACGCCCCCTTTCTGGAACTTACTACTGGAACTTACTACTGGCTTCCCGAGGCTTGTGTGACTTTTCACCAAGATGGCCCCCTCTCGTGTATATCATGGCCTGCTGACTTAAGTACTGCCGTACACCACAGTTCCCCTTTTTCGCCAGCAGCCAGTGCTATGCCACTACAATTGTATACGTGGGGATGCGTTCCTGGAATTATTTATTTTGTATGAGCAAGATATGAGAGCTGCATTGGGGTATCGGTAACAGCTCTAATACAATTATTATAATCACATTAGGGTTAGTGCATTGTCTTTGAGTTGTGCACCTTTTGGCGTCATTGGGTCGAACACCGTATGACTAGGCTCTAAGGAAAGCTGTCTCTGGTGTGGACCAATCAATTTCAAGGACAATGCATATATTACCAGTATTGTGGTTAAAGTAAACATGATTCCTTGTAAAAAGGTTTCAGTTTTGTTGCCAGAAAAAAAAAACTATTTTGTATATGTTTCTTGAAGTTATTCGTTCTAACAACTTCTAAGTGGTTGAGGCTCATCTTCCATGCTAAACTGCAGTGGGCTCTCATCCGCCATCGGCGAGACATACTTTAGGATCTTCTCCGACAGAAAATGAGGGTTTTTTGTATCTGCAGTATCTGTACACAAAACACACAATGCATTTCAGTTGTCAAGCAATATTTAAAAACTATTATGTTAACAAATATATTAAATGCTCATAATTATAGTATTTCAATTGTTCTCTGTTTGCATGCGAGTGCAATAATTATCATCCTACATCCATTTGACACTTCTGTACATTTATTTTCCTGTAAATTATTTTTGTTTATTTTACAACGAATATAGCTAACGTTCATGACAGAAACTTTACTGATTCATCCTTGTACAGTATTTTAGATTTATTCAATACAATTGTTTTAGTTCTGATTTCTATTTGGTTGATTTCAGTCAGATTTCACAGTTGTAGTACTTGTTTTCATTTGCTTGCTTTTGTCTCGCAAATCAGACTCTTTCTGTCCCCCCGAGTTCCTGCCTGGCTAAACAAAATAAATTGAACTATTGAAACTAAACTTTTTTTATTTTACGAGGTAAGACCCACTGAGCTATATAGTTCTTTTTCAGAAGCGACCTGGCCACAAATGATAGCTTAACAAAGTGGCTTACGATGTGGGAATTTAGAGCAGCCAAATAATCTAAACGCATGTATCTAAATGTGGAGGGGAAAACCAGAGGACCCAGAGAAAAACCCACACGACCACAGGGAGAGAGACACGAAAACTCCAAATCTACAGGCGTCAGGGATGGGATCGAACCCACGATCTCTTGCATACCAGGTGAGGTAGTTCACATTTCGCCACTGTGGCGCCCATAATGTGTAAGGCCTTGCCCATGAACCCAAGTGACAATGCTAATGTAAGGTGTATATTCACCATCGTAAAGCACCAGCTGGACTTTGTTTCGGATGTCAATGTCACTTTGGATAATATCTTTTAGAGTGCAGTAGAACAGCTTGGCCTGCTCCAAGCGATCATCAGCGCTGAAACCTTTAGGAGTCTGGTTTGAAATGTCCAGCAGGGAGCGCAGTGGTGTAGCAAACTCCATCACGATGTAGTGCTCCTGCAGGAAGAATCATATCTGAACTTAGCCAATAAACCATGAAGAACGATACGGACATTCATGTCCGAGTGTCAAATAAACATGTACTACAACAACAACTTACATTTATATACACTTCGTCAGGATGTAAAAATTCACAAAAAAGATCCAATAATCATGACCCCCCACATAAACGTGAATATGAGTCGTCCCGCTAAAGCAGGGGTTGGCAACCAAAATAACAAGAGCTTTTTTTTCGAATTCGGTGTGCATGAATACAAGACGGTGGTCCTTAATAAATAACGTCACGATGCAGTCCATAAAGAGCCACATCCGGCTCTGGAGCCGCAGGTTTCTGATTTCTGCGCTCAACTTTATAAACCTTTAATCTGCATATCCCTATTACAGAGGCATCTGAATGTCATGTAGCTGGTAGGTGAAACGTACCACATTTTGGGCATCCAACACCCTGTGCACCGTGTGCTTAAAGCTGCGCATTGAGACGCCACCGCGGTTCCGCTGAATCTCAGGTAAGTTGCCATCGACGCTTATGTGTTGATCCTGTTCAGAAAACGTGTTCGTCACATGGCAGCTCAGCGGCAGGAGGATGAACAGCTTTTGCGTGCTCGCTGTAAACGTCCGTCCTGCACGTGTGTATTGTGCCAGTTTGACATCGAGTTCTGTAACAAAAAACGAAAAATCATGCACATGTGGAGAGGAAATTCAAGCGCCTTTCCCAGCCCACTCTGGTCATAGGTCACAGGGAAGCACCGGCCAATAGCCACCGGGAATGATTGACAGGCCAAGGAGGGCCAGAGCAAGCATGATTGGAGGTAAGCTACGGCAGGAGAAATGAGCGTGAAAGGTTAGATGGTTGGGATATGGGGGCAGAGTAGAATGAGGGGGGAAGGGCAGGGGAAAATGGAGAAAGAGTGGGGGGCGGACAGGAAATTCTGGGTAGAGGAGTCTCGTGCAGTGTGCGTTACCTGTTGGTCATAAATAGAGACCCTTTTTTGAACGCCGCACAAGCCGAATCCCTCCCTTCACGTGCATGGATTCCACAACGATATCCACTGAGCGTTTGGCCTCGCGAGGTTTTTTATTTGCGGAAATAGAATTTGGTCTCCAAGTCACACAATGAGATGTTACACGTAATTACCTGATTAACTTGCACGCCAAGGATAATCCTTTAAGCGCTGGTTTTATCGCCAAGATTTGGACAACTCGTAGATGAGCAGTTCCCAGAAGAGACTCGGGCTTAGTTGAATGCACGTTGCTTTCTCACCTGGCAACACTAGCTTGAGGTATCCAAAGTAGTAAGACCAAGCCAGGCCATGAGCCACATTGAGATTTTTCCTCTCAAATATGTCGGAGATGTCAGCTTTTGATGGGGCCTTCAAAGAGACAATAGTTAAACATATAATGTACAATTAGGGTAATATTAAACTAAACTATTTTAATTTCGATTTAAAGCTTTCGTGACTGCAGGGATTCGTATTCTTGGTTCTTTCAGTAAAGTCACGTAGAAGGGAAATAATAAAAATAAAACAATAAAATTCTCATGACGTTTCGATCGCAACACAAGCAATCATCATCAGGTATGCAAACCACAGCAAAAAAATGTTCTATTTTAACTTGAAGTTTTCGTGACTGCCGGAATCCATACTCTTTGGTTCTTTCTGTAAAGTCACGTAGGTTGAAAAAAAAAATCACGACGTTTCTATCGCAACACAAGCAATTGTCTTCAGGTAGAAAGATACAGCAGTAGAACTGCTGAACAAGAAAGGGCTTTTGCAACAAGAGACTATATATAGGTTTGAGGTGGGTTGTCACCCAATGGTAAGTAGGCGGGGTCAGAGATGGAAAGGAGTCGCGTCGCCGTACGCACGCACAAACAGCTGCGCCAAAGGAGGATTGGCATGCTGATGCAAATGAATATAATGGGAAATGAGCCCTGTTGTCGCACACAAGCAACGTCATCGTACGCACGCACAGAATCTGCGTTAAAGGTTTGGAACACATCACCGGCAGACGTGGCAAGATCTGAAATCGCTATCCTCAAAAACGCCAAAAAAAACATCAGTACAATCAGCAAGGATGAGTGGTTTGAACTCGCTCAATTAAAAAAGAGAGATATTGTCATCCTCTCAGCCGACAAGAGCAATGCCACTGTCATCATGGATAAAACCACATATAATAACAAAATTCAAGACCTTAATGATGGCAGTTACACCAAAATCAAGAGATCCTACCAACCGCCTGGCCAAAAAAACCAACAATATCACCACCAATTCGACTTCCCTAATCGAACCGACCAAAAAGCTATTTCTAAAACCTTCGGCTGCTGGACCACCCAGATTTTATGGCCTTCCAAAAATACATAAAGGTACTCCACTCCGTCCTATTGTATCCACCATTAATTAACCCACCTACAAACTGGACGGATTTCTGTCTGAGACCCTGCTTCCATTCACGGGCAAGACCACCTCAGCAGTACTTAATTCAGCTCACTTGGTTGCTCTAATCAAGGACATCTCACTGTCTCGGGATGATTTGCTTGTCAGTTTCGGTGTAGTCTCTCTGTTCACCAAGGTACCTGTGCCTGACACCATTGCAATCATTGAAGACTTGGTTCAACAGGGACTGAATTCTGATGTGCTTACTTTGGTGAGGCACTGCCTTACCAACATTTACTTCACCTGGAATGGTACATTCTACAAACAAGAGGAAGGTACCCCAATGGGTTCTTCCTTATCGCCAGTGGTAGCAAATGTTTTCATGGAGAAATTTGAAACAGATGCCATCCTGACATCCACCCTATGTCCTTCCTTGTGGAAAAGATACGTAGATGACACGTTCGTCATCTGGCCAAATGGCCAGACAGCACTGGACCAATTTTTAAACCACATCAATTCCATATGTAGTGAGTCCAACTGAGTCGCAGACGCTATCTTGGGAGCAACACTATTTATTCACGTAACAATACGTAACATAACACAACCTACGCTCGGGTCTCGAATGCCCATCTAACCACGCTACGGCAGAACTAGACACGGTTCGCTATCCCGGTCCGGACCACAAGCTGGGTCCCGGACTTCGTGGCTCGAGGCTTCTTCTCCCCGATGTGTATCTTTGAACACCAACACTTGAAGAACCCCGAGCTGCTCACGGAGCTCTCATTATATGCCCCCGGGCTGGGGCTGGCTCCGCCCTTAGCCCCGCCCACCTTCCAGGCCTCTCGAGCTCCCTCTCGAATGTTCCCGAGAGCCCCTCGGAACCACGTGACCGCCCCTCGGCCCCCGTCCACCGGTGGGCCCCCTCCAGCATCGTCCTGTCACCTGACAACAGGTCAGCCAGAGTATCATGCTCCAGGGTAACCCTGGCTGGCTGACGCTCGCTCTCGCTCCCTCACTGGGAGCTGGCACCGCACACGGCTCGCAGTGCCTCCGTGCTAACCAGCGCTCACCCAACCACCGCTAGTGTTGGTACTGTAGCCCGCAATCCGGGCTGCCCGTAATGACATTACCGGCCGTGACTTCGCAAGTCCCGGCACCACACAGTGACAAGTAAAGTCACTACACATACACCAATCCATCAAATTCACAATGGAAGTGGAAAATGAAGGCAAGCTACTATTCCTGGATGTTTTAATCGAGAAGAGACCTGATGGCTCGTTGGGACATTCTGTCTACAGGAAAGCCACCCACACGGATTCCTTTCTAAAGCCTGATTCCCACCACCATCCAGCCCAGAAGAAATCCCTCGTCAAAACACGACACCATAGGGCACGTTGCATCTCCGACCAGCAACACCTAGCCAGTGAGCTGGAGCACGTACACCAAACCCTCAAGATGATTGGATATTCAAACCGCACAATCCGAAAAACTGTATTACCAACTATGGCGAGAGAGCCATCTGAGGACCAAATCAAACCGTCACCTTGCCATACATAGTAGGTGTCACCAAAAATATTTCCAAAATCTTGAACAAACACAAGATCCAGGTTCAATTCAACACAGTACACAAAATCCGTGATCTGATCCCATCTGTGAAGGATGCGATTCCTGACATGCAATACCCTGGTGTCTACAGACTAAGTTGTGTTTGCGGTAGCAGTTACATCGGGGAAACGAAACAACATGTCTCGGACCGTGTACGCGAACACAAGGCAGATTTGAAACACGGCAGAACCAATACTTCTGCAGTGGCTGATCATTATAATGCAGTGGGCTCGCACGATATAGTTTTTTCCCGAGACCAAGGTACTCTGCAAACCTTCGGGCTACCATCAAAGATTTGTCCATGAAGCCATCCAGATATATAAACAGACACAATTTCAACCGAGAAGATGGGTACAAGCTGAGCAATCATTGGATGTTATTAACCAGGTAAGTTATAACTTGCTGTGATGTTTCCATCCTTCCTGCCGTTGTTTAGCAGTTATTTCCGACTGAATTCTCACTGGCACGGCCACCGTTATAGTGGTTCTCCGGCGTTGATACGCTGGCCTCTCACTGTGCAGCAGCCAACGCCGCAGCTTGTGTTGCCCACGAGGTGGCGCTATGCCCGGTCTTCTGACACAGACATGCTATCTTCACTAACAGCCACCGCTGCCCGCTTTTGCCTCGATGTAACAGTAGCTCTCGCTGTTAAATAGGCTGCATGTCTCTCCCATTAACGCAGCTATTGTACCTGCGTGCGGCGATGGTGCTCGTGTGCGACGACGGGGCTCATTTTCCCATTGTGCTCGTTTGCATTAACATGCCAATCCTCCTTTGACGCGGTTGCTGTGCGTACTACGACGGTGCTCGTGTGCGACGACGGGGATCATTTCCCATTGTACTCGTTTGCATTAACATGCCAATCCTCTTGTTGGTTCTTTCGGTAAAGTCACGTAGAATGGAAATAATAAAATAATAAAAATAAAACATAATAAAATAATTCTCACGACGTTTCGGCTACAACGCAAGCAGCCGTCCTCAGGTGAAGAATGAACAGGTCTGATTTATGTTCACGGATGAAGTCCGATACATGTCGTTTGGTTTAAGTGTGATTTGTAGAGTGTCTTGTCTAACTGATCTAGTTCGAATTATTTTATGTTTTTTATTTTTATTTTATTATCTCCATTCTACGTGACTTTACCGAAAGAACCAAGAAGATGAATCCCTGCAGTCACGAAAGCTTTAAATCGAAATTTAATCGCCACTACGGGGTGGGATTCCACAAAACTTTAAGATCTTTCAACAAACTCTGGGATAAGAAGGCTCAGCTAATCGAGTCTCTCACCTTTCTTAAGAGATTCCGTGACTCTAAGGTAATACCAATCGCATTTACACTAACCTCTGCTGCTGTAACTTCTTCTAATGCTAAACGAATTCTGTCTAGAACTAGCTTGGCTCTTATCTCTGAGAAAATCAGACTTACGCGCACTGAACTAGATCAGTTAGACAAGACACTCTACAAATCACAATTAAACCAAATGACATGTCTCAGACCGCATCCGTGAACATAAAGCAGACCTCTTCATTCTTCACCTGAGGACGGCTGCGTGCGTTGTAGCCGAAACGTCGTGAGAATTATTTTATTATGTTTTATTTTTATTATTTTATTATTTCCATTCTACGTGACTTTACCGAAAGAACCAAGAAGATGAATCCCTGCAGTCACGAAAGCTTTAAATGGAAATGCCAATCCTCCTTTAATGCAGCTTATTTCTACCTACATGACTTTACCGAAAGAACCAAAGAGTATAAACTATTTTATTTAAACTATAAACTTTTTTTATTTGAAGCTTTCGTGACTGCAGGAATCCATACTCTTTGGTTCTTTCGGTAAAGTCACGTAAGTATAAAATAAAATAAATCACGACGTTTCGGGTGCAACACAAGTGTTCGTCATCAGGTGGGAAAGCATGATCTGCTGCTCGGCAGACTGTATTAAAAGGTTTGAAATGGGTGTAGCCCAAGGGTCATAAAGAAGTGGGCGGGGCTAGTGATGTTAATGTGAGAAATTAAGATCGGAGAGCTGCCTCCTCGACAAGGGCACGGAAGTGGCTATGTTAATGTGAAAGATTAGCATATTAATGTGAAATCGAAGAGTGGTGCAATCCAAAGCGGCCTCCTCGACGAGGGCATGGAAGTGGCTATGTTAATGTGAGAGATTAGCATGTTAATGTAAAATCGAAGAGTGGTGCAATCCAAAGGCATGAGATTGCAACCCAAAGGGTACAATCCAAAGGTCATGTGAGCATGAGAGTGCAATCTAAAGGCATGACGGACGCTTGTGTTGCGCCAGATACGTCGTGATTTTTTTAAATTTTATACCTACGTGACTTTACCGAAAGAACCAAAGAGTATATACACTTTTTATTTTACCAGTTAAGGCCCACTGAGCT